AGCTGTCCGCTTATTCTTACGACGTTAAGCGGAAAATGTTATGTAGAGAACATCGAGAATCGACACGAATGACTGCTAATTTGTCGCAGACGCTTTTCCACACTTATTCTTATCGGCTATTTAACCGCTGATGAGATTCAATGTCTGCAGGTTGCGAATGTGATGAATGGATCTCTTAGTGTAATTTTGGAACTCTTGGTGCAATTAAGACTATTATAGCAAAATTAAGGAAATGGTACTATAATGGTTTAGCTTTAGGGTTGTTTTCATGCTTGTTTCTATGATGGAATGTGTTGTATTAAAAGAAAAATATTTTGAGACATGGAGAAGTTAGAAGTTATTCTACCAGTGGATTTAGGCTAACTTCATAGCTGAAGAAAGCTCTGTAAATAAATTAAAATGCTAATAAGCTAAAATTCAAGTAATAAGCTAAAATAGTAGATGAAAAAGTTAACGTCATACTTTATGATTGATACTTTGAAGGAAAGCTTGTATCCTAATCATGTTTATTACATTTATATTACAACTTCAGCATCTGCTAAAAAATATTTAAGTACATCTTTCTTGGACGACAACTTTATCTGCTATTGCAGTGAATGGAAATAGTGACTTAAATTGGGAAAAAGAAGTTACAAGCCTATTTCTAAGTAATTCTAATCGTGCTTCCATGAAATTTCTCGAATTAAAAAATTCTGAGAAAGAAGATTAATCTTCTGAACTAACACTTCTTCAGGCACTCATGGGATTATGAAAACTCGTGAAAATCTTCAAAGATTAAAATGAGATTAATTGCCATGCTGAAGCTACTGAGCATTTCATTAGATCTTCCATTTTAAGGAAAGCCGATATATTTTCAAATTGAAGAATAAAATATAACAGAAACGAAATATTTTCGGGTTTAATAATTTAAATCAGGAAGATACAGTTGGAAATTTTTAATTTAAAAATTTTAAAAATGAAGTACTGTTAGAAATATTTTAATCCAGGAATTTTGCTACTGACATACAGCTAAAATATTTCTGATTTAAAAAATTTGAAAATTAGTTGCACAATTTTGAATTGAAAAATTTCAGAACTTGCAATTAAAAATTTAATTTAAAAACTTGAGAAGTACAAATCAAATTTTCTGTGTCATCCTAAAATACACAAATTGACTAGATTCGCCTAAAATTATAACTAACATTGATTCACCTAAAATTACAACTAACCCTGATTCACCTAAAATTATAACCCACCTAGATTCACTAAAATTATGACAAATTGAAAGAAGTTGTTAATAAAAAATTACCTCAAACTGTACTGAAAATTTAGGGAATTACGCTTAAATAAATCTATCAAGTCAGAAAGTAATTAATCAAATTTGCCCCCAATTGTACTGGGTGGAATTTCATAGAGTCTTATTGCAATTTCCCATTAAAGCAAAGTTTTAAAGGCATCCCTAAACAGGTAAGCGGATAGATCTAGCGCAGGTCCTGCGGGACTACTTGATTAAAATCCACGGAAAGTGCTACCCGCCTCTGGAATCTCGCTGCTAGGCATTGTTTATAGAACAATGGATAGATTTGGTGTGTGGTACGGTCTGGCTAGCAACGATTCACACCATTCTACGCCCCATCGCGCAGTGCAAAAGCAACTTTCATACCTTTCATGGGGTTCCGTTACCGCGAACATTTTCTTTGTTCATAACAGCTCCGAGTCATGTAATAGGTTCTTGTAAGTGATGATTTGCATTTTTTCAATGGCAAAGAACGAACAAAGGGCAGACGAAGTAATGGAAACAGAAACTTTAAAGAACCTTTTCTCTTCTGTGCTTTAGAATCAGCATAGTCACTTGAACACCGTTGAATTTCCACACCTTTTATTTTCAACGATTATAATTTAAATAATTTTTGTTGGGAAAGTTGAAATTTGATGTAATTTGATGTGGTTTCATTTGCACTAGTTTGATGAAATTTGAAGAAGTTTAATAGAGTTTGTACTGACAGGATTTGATGGGGTTTGAAGGAGTGGTTCATGGACGAATGTGAGAAATTATTCTGTTGAGGAGTTGTTTAGTATATTTTTAAAAAGTGTCTCAAAAGTCTTTCAAGCTACTCAGCAATTATTTTGCAATTTCTCAAAATGATTTGTGTCCTCATAAATTTATTATTTGGTACTCATGTTAGAATCTCATAATAAAATGAGGACAAGTATCTTTTGAAAGACAAAAGATTATCTACATACATATTGTAAGCTGCTGCGTTTCAAACTAAAAAAAATATGAAATCAATTAGGTTCAAAAGATGAAGTCACATTTTATTAATAAAATACACACGTCATTTTCTTTGTATATTCATTTTGCTATGAACTTAGCTGAAGTCAACCACAAACTTTGTGAATGAGCTCATATGTGATAGGTCCTTTCGTACCCTACATAAAGGACATTTCTACAAAATGATATGTGGAACAGTTTTTGTGGAAGTAGGAATAAAAAAACAAAGAATTACCGAGTGAAGATAAACGTGTTAGAGATTGTTGAAAGCAGCTTGAACGGAAAATACAAAATCGGCTGAAGCAGTTTATTTGGAGTTGCATGAAGCGTAATAAAGAGCGTAATACATGGGGCGGTATTATTCGAGTTGAAGAGTCCTGAGCTCTTACAGCGTCCCATTACCTCTACATTACTGTCCAGGAATTGCAGTAACAATTCTTTCCGTGATACAATACGTTCTCTGCTTTATCGTGAGAAACGCTAAATCGGTTTTCCATCGCTCTTTTTTTACCATTTACTTGCAAGCAGTTTAAGCTCCTGGAACTTGCTACAATGCGTCCCTGTCTCTGTTGCTGCACGAATTCCGGGAGCGCGTAATAATTTCGCGTATAAAAATGCGATCTCGCGATTCAATATGTCATTATTACAGTTTTATTAAGATTCGTGGTGGCAGTCATCGGATTTTCTTCGATACGGTGATTTAATATCTCTTGCGATTTTACTTCTTTTGCATCGTTCTGCATGTTGTATTCGTACATTTGTAATTTGTAGCTTGTGCTATATTTAAATTTTTATTTAGAACTCGTATATTCAATATTTTGCAATTTGCAGAGTTGTGCAAGTGTATTGTAATAATAACGTAATTTGCAATAATCAGAAAGAAAGATACATGAAAAGAGTTTAACAAAAACATACAGAATAATTATTCATACATTTAGATTTTGTTCTAAAATTCTTATAATGAAAAAATTCTTTATGTTTATATAAAATACTGTATAATATATAATTTATGTTTATATAAAATACCATGTAACTACTTTACATGAGTGGCGATTTTTGGGGAATTTTATTCTTCATCTGAGATCAACGAATATTGTTATTTTGAATACAGCAATAAAGGAGTGAAGAATTTTCAAAATTTTAGCTTGTGAACTTGGAAGTTTTACGTATATATTTATTGACAGTATTAAATACTGTGTCCACTGTAATTATCTTCGAATAATGACAATATTTCGATGTGTAATGTCGTATTAATGGTAGTACGTACTCGTGGCGCCACTGGTAGTAAGAACTTGCACTACGCACCGCCATTAACGAGTTCCATAACCTTTCATTTCTACAATTTGCATTAAATTTCTCAAAATTGCCAGAATAATACCACAAACCTCCTCATTCAATTCAAATAACTTTAAACCTATTAGTCTAATCTATTAAACACTCGTAATCTAATGGAAAATTAATAGACTATGAACAAGCTACACGTTCTCCTGAACATGTCACTATCTACTAAATTGACCTACAATTAAGCGATTATTAAATTTAATAATTAAAACATAGTTTATCTCAATTAAAATAAAGTAGCAAAATAATTTGCATTTTGTCAAAAGCTCGTTTCGTTCCACCTGTATAATTATATGTGCGCGGTTGGAAGAAACGTTAAAAGTCGCAGAGGAATGTGCAACATGGAAATTTTTCAAGTTATGCAACTGCACGGAATGATAAATCGTTTAACGTAATTTAATTATAAGCCGCTGTATAGGGCGGAAATGGAAGCGGTGGATATACGGTGGAATAAATAATTACTTTCTATGACAGATATTAATGAGTCGACGGATATAGGTATATTACAGAATCAAATTTTGAATTCAGGCGGTCGTCGTTCTCGCTGCTTTATACAGAAATTATCCGTTAATAACTCGGATGTGCAAATAAAAATGTGCAGATTATATTTTGAAAGAAATCTGACGATGTCCTGAAACTGCTGAATAAAAGAAACGGCACAAATGAAACTGTTTTAATTATCCTTTATTCTATAACAATCTCCGTATGGAATTATGGTACATTATTCGCGGTCATGTTGGGAAAATTTGGTTTCAACAAAAATGAAATGGGTTTAGGGAATTTTTATACGAGCACCATTCTTTTCATAGTACAGTTTCTTTCTTTAAAAATTTTATAAAGCATATTTCAAAATACTGTACTTTTATTTCAACAAGTTTTCACTATAGATTAGCAAATGATTTCTAATTATTGTACCGAGCTTTCGTTTAAAAATGGTAGAGATCTGTATTTAAACATCCACATATAGAAACGTGAAGCGTAAATTGAAATGTATTTGAAACGTAATTGACATAATGTGTAATGGAAACCATGTCTAAAAAGGGTAATACTTTAAATCCATTTTGAGCAGTTCGACTTTTTGCTGCCCTCTTCGAGGATAGATATAAATTTAGTTGCACCAAACTGGGTCGTTCCTCTCAACTTTCAGCAAAACTTTATGCCAGAAACTTGGATTTCTCTTTAAATAATGTTACGCTCTAGAGACTTGTCACATGAAGAAATTGTTACGAAAATTGCGAAATAAATTAATAATGAGTATGTAGAAAATGTTTGAATGTATTTTTTAGGTTATGTCAAATTATTATCAATTTAAGGTTAGGTCAAGTTGGACATCGAAAGTTTGACGTGTTAGTTTATTATTAATGATTTTTCCAGAGTCTAATGTCACGCTGTTTTATTTATGTTGCAGTGGATGCTGTGAACGGTGAAGTGTTGCATATTATAAAGATAAGCCGGCTACACATGGGAGTATACTTATGCATCGCTTCGAATGATGTCCCGCCATCAGTTAGTCAACGTATATCACTGCACGTGCAATGTAAGTGCAATTACATTAATTATTTATAACTTATAATTATAACGCTTTCATAATTTGACTCATACTTCACCATGTGCCATCATTTTTTCCTGACTCATACTCTATCATATACCATCGTTCACATATGTGCACATGTATTCATAATTTAAAGAAAAGTACTATTGGAAAAATTGACTACTTAATTATAACACGAATGTGATACTTTAAAAGCTATAAAGCAATTTTTCCATAAAAGGAAATTTTGCATAAATATTAAAACTACAGCAACGTCATTTTATAAACTGTAGTAACATAACCTAACTTCAGCTAGGCTCTTCAAACTTAATTTTTGAAACATTCTTTCAACTTCATCGATGTTTCTCTTTGAAAGTGCAAGTGACAAGAAATTGTGTGAGAGTCTAAATATTAATAATTTCTTATGTAATGAAAATTGAGATAACCATGATTGCTAATCGAGAAGTTTGCAATTTATGTTTGTGAGATTTGAGGAACGTGATTATTTAGTAAAATAAGAGACGGTGTAGAAAGCGTCATAACTTATCAAACGATCAAATATATTTTCTTTTGTTATGCAAAAGAGAGGCACGGAATGTACTTTCCGGCTAAAACTCGATAAAGAATGGTTTGTTCACCCTAGCACGATACATTAGGCAGATTTTCAATGTCTCATTTAGCCACCGATTTACGAGCAACCACTTGACCCAGATATGCTCGATGTACCTAGATCTGTTATCCCATTTCGACTGTCATGCTCATCTCGTTTTAGGGTGTGAAACTACTTAGTGTTCGCTTTGTTTCCTCCGTCACATTAGTGTTCGCTCTGTTGAACTAATAATTGCTTAGGAACTGTTAATGCAAATGTACATGAAATAGTACTGTTAAATATTTTACTAATAAACTACGATATTGATTGCGAGTATTTTAACTACTCTTTTCTGATAGTAATTTAAACGTATTAAATTATTCGGCTATTTAATTATTTCGCGTTATTCAATTAATTATGTGGTACTAAATTACATTTATAGTGAAATTGAATTATTTATGCAGCTTTAAATTGAACGTATTTTAAGGCGTTAAATTAAATTAATTATGAGACGTAAAATAAATTAATTATAGCACCTTAAATTGAGTTAATTATGAGACTTTAAATTAAATAAATCATAAGGCTTAAATTAAGTTAATCGCAAGAACCTAAATTAAAACAATCAGTAAATTAATCTTTAAATTAAATAAATAAAGCCTTATATTAAATTAATTGTAAGGTTATTTCTATTCGATAGTCGCACAAGAACATACAGTGCACATAATATTGTCTAAAATACGAAGAATTAAAGAAATTATTTATAAAACAGAAAATTTTAACTGATTAGCTTCGTTTAATTAATTTCTCCATTTTTTTTTTAAATACATTTTTAATACAAATACAGATAGTAGTGTGTACAGTTTCATGCGTTTCTTATTGTTTAATATTACATGTTAATTTAAAATTGTATAAAATTTCTTCTGTCACAAACTTTTGACCGACAGTGTACAGATATATACATCGCTAACAATTGACCTTAATAGCTGAAAAGTGTATATATAATTATCGATCGAGGCGCTAAATTAGTGTAGAGCCACAGGAAGATATAATTCAATTTGAATATTGGCCTATAAATAATGAACAATTTGTTTACCAGTCTAATTGCAATGGTTTCATAAATATATCACAAGGAACATAATAAATAAACTTCGAAACACTTTATTTATAAACAATTTTTATTTTATTTGTTTTACTATTATTTTACTAAAATTTCTTTCTTAATTTATTATAATTTTTTTGTACTCTTCATTCATAATATTTAATTTGCAAATTCTCATGATACACAACTAATATTTAACTAGATAAAATGGTGATTGTATAATTAATTTCAATGAGCCAGGCTTCAACAGCTGTTTATACCCATCAGTAATATTCTAATTTAAAGTCTTTAATATTCCAATCATCACAAAACGTAAATCATGTTACTAATATCTCTTTTTCAAAAATAAAACACGCTAATTTGCGTGTTACATTGCATAACGACTGTTTTCTCTTACTGAATCTTACAAGTTATTTATTTTTAACCCCACGAAGAATACATCTTGTTTTCCATATTTTGTACACATCGTTACATATTCAATCAAATGCTTTGCTGGAATTATGTACTTAAATATTTCGACTAACAAATTCGAAATCGAATTTCATTGCAACACGTCATTTAATAATACTAGTTTCGTAACTTGCGCAAGCGTAAAATGGCGGACCGTGTTCGCCGATGTAGCAACAGATTAAAATTCCACATAAATGGAGGGAAGTACTTACTGTTCGCGTTTAATATATTAAACTTTGTACCTGTCGAACGATGATAACCGTTAATAATAAATCTAAATGCATTGCGGAATTGTAGAATACATTTTATGGTCGTTTTAATATTAGAGATTGAGGATTAAAGATGGCAATGAAATTCAAGTACAAAGTTGGTTTTTCTTTTATTCTATAAAATAAATACTATGAATACTATAATGTTTTAATATTTGGCTGCAAGTTTACTAAATTTTATTAGTAACATTGTATAATTATGGTAAATTCTTGACACGTGTTTTGAGTGGAATTCTAACCTCAATGTTGGTTCATGTAAAAGCTGTTTGTTACTGGAAGGTCTTTTATTTTCTTTTAAATGTAAGGTGCCTTTGAAAATAATAAAATTAATTCTCAACTGTTTATAATAAATAATTTTTACTAATAGATAGCTACTAATAGACAACTACTTTTTTTACAAATCAACTCTGAAATTAATATATTGTACAATGACATTTCTTACTCAAATTAATTTCGTTTAAGAATTTAATAATAATTCAACCAATACTTTTGCTGAAAAACTGTATTTTAGTCAACTAATTTTACTTAATAATTGTATTTTAGTCAACTAATTTTACTTAATAATTGTATTTTAGTCAACTAATTTTCACTTAATTATTGTATTTTAGTCAACTAATTTTTACTTAATAATTGTATTTTAGTTTTGTTCTAACGTTGAATACATTCTCTTAAATAACAAAAAAAATTTATATATTCTAATAAATTTACAATTATGATTTGAATTATTTAAATAATGAAGTCTTTACATAACTTAAATAATATATATAATGCAACAGAAAGAATTTATATGATATAATGGTATTCAGAACAAGCACTAATTTTTGAACGAAACTGTACAGTGTACGTACATATATAATCGTAACATACCATGCACCGAAATAGAAAACGAATAAATGATGTTATGGCGTGCTATTCTTAATGGAGTAAATAGAACTCGAGAAAAAGTCAATGCAATCTGCATATAAATTGGCCTTAGTATAAATTCTATTAAAATGTAATTGGACTTTTAAGAGGCAGTCCTACGAGATCTAAGGACGTACAAATAAATTGACTCCAAGATTTGAGGACAATTAATGAAACTATGAATAATTTTAATCGAGAATATCAATTCTTTGATGATGTAAGAAGAAAGCTGTAATGAAATAATAATAGCAAGACTTCATCAAATTGTCATAAAAATTGTAACACAAAAATTGACAATGTTGACAAATAATTTTACATAAATATTTGAATGATCTGTTTAAATAATCGTAGGAATAAATTTTACAGAATTCTTTGTTACAAATGTTTTGGGAATTTTATTAAAAATATTTTCTGAATCAAGCAACACATATTATTGTATGATTCTTGTGAATAATGGTAGTAATGGGTTTAAGTGCTATGAACAGTAGTAATGGGTTTGAGTGCTATAAATAGTAGTAATGGGTTTAAGTGCTATGAACAGTAGTAATGGGTTTAAGTGCTATGAACAGTAGTAATGGGTTTAAGTACTATGAACAGTAGTAATGGGTTTAATTACTATGAAGAACAATAGTAAATTATTGAAATTGCAGCAAGATACGATTTTCCAAAAATTGTAGAAAAAAAGAACAGTACACTAAAAATATTATTTGCGTATTTAATTTATTTCTAAAATTAAACTTGTGTTCAGTAAAATAATTATAAAATTTGTTCAAAATAATTTAGAGGAAATTATTTCCTTATTTTTAACAAATTTTTAAAATCCTACCTAATAGACATTATCATAGTACAATTACTATGAATAACAGTAATAAAAAGTTTAGTTTCTATGACCAACAAATTAGTAAAACTGCAACAAGAAAATTTAAAAAAAAATTTTATAAAAGAACAGTACACTAAAAATATTATTTCCATATTTAATTTAGTTCTAAAACTAGATATGTGTTAAAAGAAATAATTAGTAAATATGTATCAAACATTTCTGATAATTCTGGAAAAGTATGAGAGAAATAATATGGGGTGAAGACGGATGATATCCACCATGATATCGTCCCAAGTGTACAGAGCGGTTGTAAATCGTGATTTACGTTGGTTCGTAAAAGATGGAACTATGACATGATATTGCGGTTACGGAATATCTATATTGATCGTGAGAAGCTCATTGTACGGTCCCGTTCCACGGTATAATAACCAAAAACTTTGAGAGGGATGTTTTCGCTCCGTGGATGTGTTACATTCCCTAAGTTCGTATACGGAACTTTCGAGTGTGTGAAAACTTTAGACACCCCTGTAGAAAAAATGAGGAAATTAAAATATATGGGAGTTTGAAGAAATTTAGCAAATTGGCCAATCTGGAAATTTGGTCATTTAGAAGTTTGGGGATTTGAGACTTGGGATTTGGAAATTTCGTGATTTAGGTGGTTGGAAATATGGGATTTGAGGGTGTTTAGTTTATTTATTTGGTGGTTGGGATTTGGAAATTTGGCGATTTGAGTAGTTGGAAATTTGGGATTTGAAATTTGGTGATATAAGAACTGAAGAATTTGGGATTTAGGGTTGGGAATTTTGGGAAATAGGAAATTTAGAAATTTGGGAGTTACGGTTAGGAATTTTGGGAAATAGGAAATTCAGAAATTTGGGAGTTAGGGTTAGGAATTTTTGGAAATAGGAAATTCAGAAATTTGGAAAATTTTGGAATTGACGTATTGGAAATTTGGAAAATTAGGAAATTGAGAAATTGGAAAATTGAGAAATTAGAAAGTTGGGAAATTGGAAATTTGGGAAATGGAGAAATTGGAAAGTTGGGAAATTTAGAAAATTTGGAAAAGTGGGAATTGGGAAATTAGGAAATGGGAAAATTGGGAATTTGAAAAATTGGAAAATTGGAAAATTGAAAATTGAAAAATTGAAAAATTGAAAAATTGAAAAATTGAAAAATTGAAAAATTGAAAAATTGAAAAATTGAAAAATTGAAAAATTGAAAAATTGAAAAATTGAAAAATTGAAAAATTGAAAAATTGAAAAATTGAAAAATTGAAAAATTGAAAAATTGAAAAATTGAAAAATTGAAAAATTGAAAAATTGAAAAATTGAAAAATTGAAAAATTGAAAAATTGAAAAATTGAAAAATTGAAAAATTGAAAAATTGAAAAATTGAAAAATTGAAAAATTGAAAAATTGAAAAATTGAAAAATTGAAAAATTGAAAAATTGAAAAATTGAAAAATTGAAAAATTGAAAAATTGAAAAATTGAAAAATTGAAAAATTGAAAAATTGAAAAATTGAAAAATTGAAAAATTGAAAAATTGAAAAATTGAAAAATTGAAAAATTGAAAAATTGAAAAATTGAAAAATTGAAAAATTGAAAAATTGAAAAATTGAAAAATTGAAAAATTGAAAAATTGAAAAATTGAAAAATTGAAAAATTGAAAAATTGAAAAATTGAAAAATTGAAAAATTGAAAAATTGAAAAATTGAAAAATTGAAAAATTGAAAAATTGAAAAATTGAAAAATTGAAAAATTGAAAAATTGAAAAATTGAAAAATTGAAAAATTGAAAAATTGAAAAATTGAAAAATTGAAAAATTGAAAAATTGAAAAATTGAAAAATTGAAAATTGAAGAATTGAAGAATTGAAAAATTGAAACATTGGAAAAGTTGAAGATTGGAAAATTGAGAAATTAACAAATGTTTAAATTTTGGAAATACCCAAATTCTAAATATATCTCCACAATAAAAATTCCACAGTTTAAATGAAATGCACTCCCTCATTTAATTACACCACACATATTTTCCTTTTGTTACAGTTCCTCCTATGCTTTCGATAGAGAATCAGCTGGTCGGTGCGTACATCGGACAGGATGTAACGTTAGAATGTCACACCGAGGCTCATCCTAGCTCTATAAATTACTGGAAGACCGAACGTGGTGACATGATCGTTTCTGGTAAGTTTAATTTCCACAAAATTACATCTGTCCATCACAGTTAATTACAGCAAATTATTCAATTGCAATGTGTCTTATCATGGAACTCCAGAGATGTTAAAAATAAATTTGTTCGCGATTTAATATGAAATCAGATCACAATTTCCTCATTTGCCGGTTCGGGTTGTTCATAATTTGTTATTTCCTTTCATACATAATTTCAAAGCTATTATTTGACAGGAGTGTCGTGTCAAATACGAATAAGTTTATAAGAATAGAATATGTACCAGAAAGTTTATAGGTGAACGTTTTACAAACTTTATTAAAGAAGAATAGGTGAATGTACTACAAATTTTATTAAATAAAAATAGGTAAATGTAGTAAAATTTTTATTAAATAAAAATAGGTGAATGTACTACAAATTTTATTAAGTAAGAACAGGTAAATGTACTAAAAATGTTATTAAATAAGAATAAATGAATTTACTACAAATTTTATTAAATAAGAATAGGTAAATGTACTACTAATTTTATTAAATAAAAATAAATGAATTGGCTACAAAATTTATTAAACAACAATAGGTGAATGTACTACAAATTTTATTAAATAAAAATAGGAGAACGTACTACAAATTTTATTAAATAAGAATAAGTAAATGTACTACAAATTTTATTAAACGGAAATGGAGTGTAGTGGAAATTTAATTAAACAGTGTAAAATTAATAATACACAGATGACTGTAACTATGTTTGCTTCGAGTCGATCACGCGCCATCTCGTGGATTGACAGCGGTACTACCCTACATTAAATCAAAATGGCAGCAGGTCAAAACATTCTTGATCGACTTTTAAAATAACATTAATTGATTACAATTTTGAAGTACACCAAATATTAAACGTCTGAATCTAAAATCAACCATATTTCAAATTACATTACGAAATAAAACGTGTCAAAAAAATATCGCAACTAAATGCCGTTGATTATTCATTAAAATTTTAAATATTGCACTTTACAGTTAATTGAGAAGTAATTCCTTTTTAAAATATTTTTCGATAAATCGTCGAAAATGCTTGAAAAATCGAGCACACTATTTTTACCGAATACGAATTTTGAAGTCTATATGTGAACACATACTCTGTCATATTTCAACTGCACTCTAAATATCGAAAATTTATGCGGACGCGATTTGATTCGTTCGATACTGTTGATGTATGCTCTTTACGGGAATATGAAGTTTTTCGAATTGCAAAGAACATGGCTTTATTTACGTAGGCAATTACCATTCTATTATAGGTGACAAGTACGAGGTGGTGTGTACCGATGACGGCTACAAGAAGTACATGTCGCTGAAGATCAGAAATGTTGGCCCGAAGGATTTTGGATCGTACAAGTGCGTGGCGCAGAATTCTATCGGTGAAACTGATGGCGATATTAAACTAGATGGTGAGTTTTATTTATTAGAATTAAACTAGACTTTCAAAAAGTATTTTATTATATTATACACTATTTATTATACTGATAAAAATTATTTGAGGATGACTTGAAATTTGAATTTTCTAAGGGAAGAAAAAAGTTAAAAGTAACAAAATTTTTAAATAAATTAAAAGTGAATTATATAGTAATAAAAATGAATATTTCTTCTAGAAGCATGTCATTATTTTAATACAAACACAAGTACAAGGAAATAAATTTTTATGAAGTAAATTAATTTTTAATTTTACACCAACAGAAATTAGAAACAATATATAAATTTTCAATTTTATATAAATTATGTTAATCACGCTTTCTTTAGAAGAGAAGTTCTACAGTTATTTAACATAAAATAAATTGTTAATATTTCTTTTACTGAAAATCGATAAAATCATTACCTCATTAAATTATTAATAGTTTTTTACTGAAGATCAATAAATTATGCAATTGTGAAATTTCAGCTCGTTTCGAGCAATTTTTATTTTTTGAGGTATTCAGAGTAAATTATAAATAAATTATAGATGTACATGTCTGAGACAGATTGTATATTTCTCAGATCAGAAAATTTCTTAGACAAAGAACATAGGTTAGAAAATTGTCCTTTAAAATAATTTTGTCACCTCTTTTTGCTTTCACCCAAAAATTTAATAAAAATCAAGACTTCATGTTTGCCTTCACCGTTACTTAACTATTATCACAACTGAATAGTTAGTAAAAATTTAATGATTGACCAGAAAAATCTTGAAGAGGTCCTCGACATGAGTTTAAGGACCGACTTACAAAATTTTATGAAATTATGCTGAACGAATATCAAGTGGCCAGTAGTAAAACGATTCAGTTATTCGCATTATAACAACCGAAATAATTCCGTTTGTACGTACACGTTCCAATAATAAAGCAATTTATTCCCTATGGAGTTTTGCGCAAGAAGTTTTGTCGTTAGCAGTCAACGGTTATCGATCGATCGACGAGGTCAAGCGTCCTTTCCGTTTCAACGTTGTTCGTAATTGGCGATTAAGTTTATGAAGGATATATTTATCCCACGAGAATATATCTTTCCACCTTTACGGGACAAATAAATTGACTGAAATTAAAAGTTTAACGAGATATAACGTTCGACCGATCGGATCGTTACGGCGTGATCGTTCGACACAAAGAAAAAAGAGGAACACGAAACTTCCGACCTGTACAGTTTAAATTCACCGAAGTAGTGAGCAGTGTTATGCAACAGGATTTAATTCACTTTTATGAAATTTTAAGTTACGTGTTTACGGGATAAGGTATTCATGAAGCGATAAAGTTTTAAAATATTCAGCGAACAAAAAAAGAATGAAGATTTATGAGGAGGGATATACGTGTTTGAATCTTCAGCAGTTTCAAATGCAATTAGAGCAAAGAATGCTTTAAGTTTAACATTTTCAGCATTGAAACTTTGTGCATCGTAGAGATACTGAAAATTATGTGAATCGGATAAATGCGAATGAAAATCACTTCTCGTATCGCGATTGTCGTTTTAGAGTTTCAAATTACGCGGTGACATGCGCACTCTGACATGCGCGTGTGAGGTGGCGTGAATGATGGCGCGTGCGTCGATGAAATTCTTTCGTGTGCTAACTTATTAACAATGCACAATACACGATAACTGAAACAAATGGTTGTGAATTTTTTAGAAGATATTACTTGCATTTCTTCCTTTTTCTAATATCATGAAAACAAGCTTAATTTTGACAAAAATTTGAGAAGGTAGCAAAATGTTCTTGATATGAAATGTTCTTGAAATTAAATAATAGTTTCATTTAATAGTGAGTAATCTTAATAAATAATAAGTAGTTTTAATTCATTAATAATAACTAGTTTCACTTGCTTGGTAATTTTGTAACTTATTCTAAAATTTTTAAATTCTACAAAATGAAAAATATTTTAAATAAATATCTTGAACTAATTTTTTAACTTATTCAAAAATTCTAAAATTCTACAAAATGAAAGATATTAATATATTAAAAATTTAATATACTTTTGTCTCCGTTTCTTAATTATTTGATTAAACTCAAAGCATAACAGTGGTCATCGAGAATACCACTGGCAATCAACATGTTAATATTGTTCTAGTTCTTTTTGCCCAATTAAGTTCTCTCTTCTGTTTGATATCTCGACATAAAACCCATTTTTCATCTCCTGTGAGCATTCTGTTCAGAAACGGGTTCCATTTCAAGCGATAAAATGGAATGCGATGTTTCTGATTCCTCTGATCAAGATTTTCATTAAACAGCTTCCGTAACATTCATTTTTACAGTTTGCTGAACTTTTCAATTTCGTTTGTGGAACGATAGAATAAAATAAATTAAACTTTTTTAGCGAAGTTTAGAGCGTCTTTGAATACCTCTTTTAAATAATTGTTGTAAATTGTTTAAATTGTTAGTGTATCTTAAATTAGTTTTATAGTTATTCTGAAAAGGAATACATTAACTGATTTTCAAAGGCAGAATTATTAAATTATAATATATTATATAATTATGTAAATTGAAAATTTATATGGGGAATTATTTACTTATATATTTCCTTGTATATTGAATTGACATCATTTTGTCAAGGAATTAAAAATTAAAAAGTAATGTCGTGTTACTAAAAGTAATTTTAATCTTTTTTCTTGTCCTGGTTTATTTCTTCAGTCCATCATTTTATCTAATTTTATCTCAAGTATCTTCTACTTTGACCTTAATCTATCTTCTCCATCTTATATTTTAATCTTATTTTATCTATATGTTACTGTGCTCTTTAAGGTTTTTCCTCTTCACTCCATTTTTTTAAATAACACTACAGTTCTTGTAAAATAAATTATCTACACAGTGCTATTTAAAGTTTACTTATTCACTGTATTTTACTTAATGATACCTCAGTTCATGCAAAATGGCTGACCAATTATTTATACAGCGTTACCCAAGGTTTTCCTATTCATTTCATTCTACATAACAGTATTTCAGTTTATGCAAAATGGCTACCAAATTGTCTTCATGGTATTATCTAAAGTTTTCTTATTCATTTCATGCTACTTAACAACACTTTAGTTTATACAAAATGGCTACCAAATTATCTTCATAGTATTATTTAAAGTTTTCCTATTTATTTCATTCTACTTAACATCACTTTAATTTATACAAAATGGCTACCAAATTATCTCCATAGTATTATCTAAAGTTTTCCTATTCATTTCATTCTACTTAACGACACTTTAGTTTATACAAAATGGCTACCAAATTATCTCCATAGTATTATCTAAAGTTTTCCTATTCACTCCACTCTACTAAACAACACTTTAGTTCATGCAAAACGTCCAACAAATTATTTGAACATTATCTAAAGTTGTCAATCTCATTTCATTCTACATAACATTTCAGTCAAACAAATAATCTACATCTAATCTAATGTTTGCAGTTATGCAAAATAGCTAAGAAACACACAATCTTTATCCTCTGATCAAACGGTACCTAAATTGCGAACTAACTCAAGAAAACTAGTTAACGAAATAAGAAGATAAATTTTGACGAAGCGTTTACTAATCCAAACATAATCCGTTTACTTTCACGCAGAGATCCCAGCTCCATCTACAACGTCCACCACACCGGCGCCGTATTACGTGACCTCGTCGATGAAGAAAAACAGTAAGTAACCGCCATTTCACTGGCCATTCTCCCCGTTTCCGCGACGTTGATCTTGATCGCGATTATAGCGTGAAATACGCGGCCGTAATGAAACAAATTATCAAACGAGGATAGAGGGGCTACGTGGTCGCGAACGAACGCGGAATTAAGTAGAATACCTGCCATTAATTTGCAAGCCGAGCAGTCGTATTACATTCATTCGTCCCTCTTTTTATTCTCCTGTTCGACTCGGAGCAAAGACATCCATTCTCGTGTCCCTTCTTGCCATGACGTCTCATCGTGCTGCACACTATGTAAAACCGCCTTTGTGTAATGTATTTTAGGTAGAAACGGTAACAAGAAATTACGACAACGACCTATCGACTACGAAGTCGAGGAATGGCGGGATCCAGGTCAGTAAATATCTATTTTAACGCGGCCCGCGTATCTCAGGCATTTCCCACGATACACCGTCTGGATGCCTGTTATACTGCTACGTTCGAGTAATTAGCGTAATTAAAACCTCGTCAACGGTGCACATTCGATGCCGAGAGATTCTCCGGTGAATCTACTAAATTGCCAATGCTCGGTGATCCCAGGCTATCCGTGAACGAATTACTTCACGTTGCTTGGTCCCCTTTAACTAGCCAGAATGGATTTCAGAATTACACTCGACCGACCACTGTGATTTCACTGGCAAAAGCATTTACGCATCGCTTGCCCGTTCGAGATTTAAGTTCCTTTAATATCACGCTTGATTTGGGACTTGCCAACATTTTAGATCTATCAATTACTTAATGGGAATGTACAATGTTTTGTGTTGGTGACTTCGTCTTGCGCGGAAGGTAGCGAAACGGTGTGTCGAGGATTGAAGGGGTAATTTATTGTTTGCGATTGATGAATGTTTGAGAGGTCGATTTTTTAGTGGGTTGCGATAAGTAGGGGTGGGTTTAAGTATGTTGCAATTTGGATGTATTGTACCGAATAAAGTTTAAAGTTTGTGGTGGAGTTTTGGATAGTTCTGGTAAATTTGTGAATTCATAAATTTTTGGACTCTATAATTTGTGTATTTAAGCATTGCTATGTTCATAGGTTTGCAAACTTGACACTTTGATACTGATAGATGTTTCAGATTCCTAATTTTTGAATTGCAATATTTTTAAGTTTTAAATATCCACGTTTTCAAATGTTTAAATTTCCAAAATTCCAAAATCCAATGGTAAAATTCTGAATTTTCAAAATTTCGGAATTGTAAAATTCCCAAATTTTTGTAATTCCTAATTTCCAAATTTTCAAATTTTCAAATTTCCAAAATTCCAAAACACAATATTCCAAAATTCCAAAAATCCAAAATTTTAAAATTCCAGAAATCCAAAATTCCAATAACAAAATTCTAAAATTCCAAAAATCCAAAATTCCAAAATTCCAAAATTCCAAAATTCCCAAATCCCAATATTCCAATATTCATAAATTCCGAAATTCCAAAGATCCAAAAATCTAAAAGTCCAGAAGTCCAAAATTCCAATACCCAAAATTCTAAAATTTCAAAAATCCAAAATTCAAAAATTCCAATACCCCAAATTCCCAAATTCCCAAATTCCCAAATTCCCAAATTCCCAAATTCCCAAATTCCCAAATTCCCAAATTCCCAAATTCCCAAATTCCCAAATTCCCAAATTCCCAAATTCCCAAATTCCCAAATTCCCAAATTCCCAAATTCCCAAATTCCCAAATTCCCAAATTCCCAAATTCCCAAATTCCCAAATTCCCAAATTCCCAAATTCCCAAATTCCCAAATTCCAAAATCCTAAAATTCCAAAATTCCAATATTCCCAAATTCTAAAATCCAAAATTTTAAAATTCCAGAAATCCAAAATTCCAATAACAAAATTCTAAAATTCCAAAAATCCAAAATTCCAAAATTCCCAAATCCCAATATTCCAATATTCAAAAATTCCAAAATTCCAAAGATCCAAAAATCTAAAAGTCCAGAAGTCCAAAATTCCAATACCCAAAATTCTAAAATTTCAAAAATCCAAAATTCAAAAATTCCAATACCCCAAATTCCCAAATTCCCAAATTCCCAAATTCCCAAATTCCCAAATTCCCAAATTCCCAAATTCCCAAATTCCCAAATTCCCAAATTCCCAAATTCCCAAATTCCCAAATTCCCAAATTCCCAAATTCCCAAATTCCCAAATTCCCAAATTCCCAAATTCCAAAATCCCAAAATTCCAAAATTCCAATATTCCAAAATTCTAAAATCCAAAATTTTAAAATTCCAGAAATCCAAAATTCCAATAACAAAATTCTAAAATTCCAAAAATCCAAAATTCCAAAATTCCCAAATCCCAATATTCCAATATTCAAAAATTCCAAAATTCCAAAGATCCAAAAATCTAAAAGTCCAGAAGTCCAAAATTCCAATACCCAAAATTCTAAAATTTCAAAAATCCAAAATTCAAAAATTCCAATACCAAAAATTCCCAAATTCCAAAATTCTACAATTCCAATACCAAAAATTCCCAATTTCCAAAATTCTATAATTCCAATACCAAAAATTCCCAAATTCCAAAATTCTACAATTCCAATACCAAAAATTCCCAATTTCCAAAATTCTATAATTCCAATACCAAAAATTCCCAAATTCCAAAATTCTACAATTCCAATACCAAAAATTCCCAATTTCCAAAATTCTATAATTCCAATACCAAAAATTCCCAAATTCCAAAATTCTACAATTCCAATACCAAAAATTCCCAATTTCCAAAATTCTATAATTCCAATACCAAAAATTCCCAAATTCCAAAATTCTACAATTCCAATACCAAAAATTCCCAATTTCCAAAATTCTAAAATTCCAATACCAAAAATTCCCAAATTCCAAAATTCTACAATTCCCAAATTCCCAAATTCCCAAATTCCAAAATTCCAATATTCCAAAATTCTAAAATTCTAAAATTCTAAAATTCAAAAATTCCAAGAATCCAAAATTCCAATACTCCAATATTCCAATATTCCAGAAATTCAAAATTCCAATACCCAAAATTCCAAAAATCCAAAACCCAAAATTCAAAAAATCCAAAACCTAAAATCCCAAATCACATTTCCAAATTCCCAAGTTTTCTTCCCAATCTCCTAACTTTCCCTAAAACATAGAAAAACTCTATACCTACCATTAACTTATAATTGTCTCCAACAAAGCTTCAGCTACAAAACAATTTCCCTTCGTGCTCCTCCTTTCAATAATAAGATTCTTGTTAAAAATAAGATTCCTATATTTTTATACTACCTTTTCCCCGTTTAATTTATTATTCCCTACATCGTTTCACTTTTATTTTTTATTTTCAACGAAAATTTGAAGCGGGTAGAATAACGTAGGAATTTCTTGAATTTAAATGATCGCTCCTTTAGAATTTCTTTGTCGAATAAAACCATCTCTTGCTAAATATTTTGCTTCAAACAAAGGAATTCTTCCTGTTGGATTATTACCATCTCTTTCAGATCTTGACTCTCTTAGTTAAAATTGTCATGTTTCTAAATGGCCTGATAAAATGTAACAAAGAACAATTTTCATCCATTATTTAACATATACTAACGTTGTTAACCATATTTCGTTAAAAAGATCGAAATAAATTTTATTAAGAAGATTAAAATTAATCGTATTTTATATCTGTTAAATTGATTAAAAACCTTTACATTTACAGCCGAGTAAAATTAAATTTAATTAGACAAGGAAGAAATTTCATTATTGGGTTAAACATTGAATTGTTCATTTAATTCTTCTATATAATTTGTTCGTATTTTAAAGATTCAAAAAGCTCCGCCGTTTAATTAGAGTCTAATTTATCAGTGTTCCGAAATTAAGTAACAGAAAGTTTCTTTCAAAATTTCTAGGTAGGTGATATTAAAGCCAACTAATTTCGTTCAACTTTCAGCTTCAGGCAAGAAAAATGAAAGAACGTAGAAAATTGGAATGAAAATTTTAAACGCTTTCGTATTACAAAACTGAAACAGTTTCATTCGTTACTGGAATTTCAAATTTTATTACTCATTGTCGGCACAAGATTTTAATTTAGTTTCGAAGGAAGGTTCTTTTCGTTTAGGGTAAATATCGACTTTTAAATGCGATAAAAATGAACTTTTTCACTATTTTATGTTCTTACAGTTACCGGTCTGATTACCGGTTCCATTTAAAGTATCACGTACCTTATAAATATTGAAGACTCTAATGTCTTATGAATACGCATGAGAATACCAAACCAACGAGTTTAACTACCGTTAAATTTTGAATATCGATTAAAAATCTAAATATCCTGCAAGGAAATAACGTATCAGCGCACAATTATTCTAACGGAGAAAAAGAATGCTGTAAATAAAAGTTCGTGAAAAAATTGTTCTCAAGAACGCTTTAGTGCACAATCTTATGGTCATTTTTATTTATTTCAATTAACCTAATAATATGTCACTTTAATTGAACCAAAAATAAATTTGTTTTAGATTAAGTTAGGATTCAATTCAATTTTTTTTAATAAATTTTTAAGATCACGATGAGTATTGCAGAAACTTTAATGAAAAATTAAATTGGATTAGTTCTAGTTGAGTTAGGTTATGTTTGATTATCTTTTGTTCAAATATTATCCTAGGCCGTTAGTTTAAACCCATCACTACTTTCACTTTAAGTGTTTAAAGTGTGGTAAAAAATTAAGTTGGATTAGTTCAAGTTGAGTTAGGTTAAGTTTGGTTACCTCTTGTTCAAATATTATCCTAGGCCGTTAGTTTAAACCCATCCCTACTTTCACTTTAAGTGTTTAAAGTATGGTAAAAAATTAAGTTGGATTAGTTCAAGTTGAGTTAGGTAAAGTTTGGTTATCTCTTGTTCAAATATTATCCTAGGCTGTTAGTTTAAACCCATCACTACTTTCACTTTAAGTGTATGTATAAAGTGTGGTAAATCCAACAGTGTCACTCTTTATTAATAATTAGACTTATATCAAAATTAGATAAGGTACAAATTATCTCATTCCTTGTTTAATATAAGTTCTATCTCTCTTTATTTGTATAAGACCCAGAAAGTTGCAGCTTAATCACGAAACACCACTTTAGTTTATGTACAAGATTCAGAAAATTTCTTATAAAAAAATACTGTTTTGTCATAAACATTGTGGCAAATCCCAATAAATCAATCATTAACAATTTCCTTGAATTAAAATCAAAACACAAAACAAAACTTGTGTCCAAAACATCCTTCCATAATAAACTCACTTAATCCTTCATCCATCATAAGTTTAACATTCTGTATATCATGAGCGTTTCTCGTCGAAAGGTCAGGCTGTCTACACTTTCGTTTTGCATGCCAATAAATTGGCAGCAACTGGCACGAACGTCGAACTTCTCGAACTAAACTTCAATGACTTTGCTCAAAGATTCTCAGAAGCGTCGAAGCAGTTCCCCTTTTCTCGAAGTTTACTTTCAATTAATGAAAAACGAGTTTCGTTGACCCGCGGCCGTCGACTGCCTTCGGTGGTGAAACGCAGAAACGCGCCACTAGAGGAATTCTTACCGTTTTTCATCTCCTTCTTCGTTCTCTATCTCTGTCCGTCGTTCATTTGTTAAATCGATCGACTTCCGCGTCGAACCTGTACGAGCTTAGCTCCGATCGGACGACGAATTGATTCTTATACTGTGCAAACTTTTATAATCTGTATACCTTTTCAACTTTATCTGTACGGTAAATAGATCGACTTCGACATAACTAATCTTCGTTTAACTCGATAACGGATTTAAGGTGAGAGGCTACTGTAGTGCACGTTCGTTAAGTGCTCGATAGGAACGCCCATTCGTGAGTGGCGCATGCGCAGTACGCTCTCGACCCACGTGACATTCAATGTACATGTGAAGAAAACATGTGATTACATATGTGATTAGTTCAGTGTTGGATGCATTGTACTTTACATATACATACAATTTTATACATACAATTCTTCTTAAATATTATTATAGTATTCAAAGAGACAAATATAAGGACACATTTAATATGTATTGCACATATGAAACAAATAATAATTATTTCAGGAGAGTAAAAGGTACCCTGTACAAAAAGATACTTGAGACAGTGTAAAGGTTGAAAAACAAAATTTTTTACTAAAATTTATAGTGGAACGAAATTTAGAATGAATTTTTTGTCGCTGTGATTTGATTTTTAAAGAAAATGGCGTCTTCCGGGATTTCGGAATTCGAAAAGTTGGAGTCGCAGAAAAAAAATGAACAAGTTAAAATCAGCGTTCATCGGGAACGGTTTATCGATTATATTAGAGAGTGTAGGGTAGTAAAACACGCACAAGGGTCAGGACCAAGAAAGTTTCCTTATTTCGCAACCAATCGAGGAACAGTCGTCGCGAATTCACGACGTTCCTTTGGAATAGTTCTTCGTCCGCTTTGGTTAGCTCGCCAGGAAGGGAAGTCGAAATCGCACGTCCGTTCGAAAAAAGTTATTCCCACCTACGAGTAAAATCCACAGTACGTGACTTTCCGCATGGACGGCGACAGACGAACCGTTTTCGAACACCTTAACAACGTCTTTACCGGTACTCTCGACCGCACCAGTTTTCCTCATTTCTTTCATCCGTCTCGATTTTGTGCCGAACTCGAACGATCGTGACTACAGGACAATGTGCAATTAACTTAAACGTAGACCACGCTCCTGCTAAGGCAGCCTTGCAATAGCTATTGACTGAATGTGCTCGTTTTCTATAAACGAACTGCTCCCCTTATTACACCTACGAATCTGGTACACCCGTTCTTTCAATTTAATTCAACACTCCGATCGCGATACGGCGATATAACGGATAGGGACATTATACTCCAGCGATTTCTTTAGACAATAGCGTGGTGCAAAATACTGTGCTGTACTATCCGCGTACTCCAATTATTATTCACATATGGTGCATTTAGTATCCACATACGACACATTCATTATCCACATACATTCACAGGTATGCATTTACGCATACAGGTATTTATAGGATTATTATATTATTGCACATGTGGTATCCACATATGGTATATTGAATAATTACAATAACGGATACTGATCCCACGTTTATTTTGCGTAGAATTTATTTTATAGGTCAGGTTCTTTTTGTTATAATGTTTAGTTGAACAGATTATTTTAAGCGAAGTTCACTATAATAAAATATTTGTCTTACAAAAATTCAATCGATATTTTTCGAAAATTAAACAGCACAAGAAAAGATCGAAAGAGGTTAGGTCGACAAACTTGTTCAAAGGTAGAACTAAAAAGCACATAATAACTAAATTATTCAGTATTACAAAATTTAAAGAATAAATTAATTACAAGAAATAATTTCAAGAGTAGAAAACACAGGAAAAGGTTAAAGATATAGGTTATGTTCACAAACTCATCCAAAGGTAGAACTGAAAACTATGTTATAAAATAATTCAGTCTCACAAATATTCAATGGCTATTTTTCCAAAATTAAAAAACACAAGAAAAGATTAAAAATATAGATTAGTTCCGCAAACTTGTCCCAAGGTAGAACTGAAAAGTATAGCACAAAATAGTTCAGCACCCTCAAAAATTCAATTAGTATTTTTCTAGAATTATAAAACACAGGGAATAATTAAAAATATAGGTTATGTTCACAAACTCGTTCAAAGCTAGAACTGAAAAGTATGTCATAAAATAATTCAGTCTCACAAAAATTCAATCAATATTTTCCTAAAATTAAAAAGCACAAGAAAAGATTGAAGATATAGGTTAGTTTCACAAGCTTGTCAAAGATAGAACTAAAAATCTGCCATAACCCAAGAGATTCGTACGAGAAACGTGTTCACTGATCAAAAGTCCCGACCCGTCAGATTCGCCAGAAAAGTTGGAATCGCAATAGCTTAAAGCATTTCGCAGGAGTTTCCGATGCAAAGTTTCGACATATGCGACGAGAGCGAAGATATTCGAAAATTCGAAGCCACGTATCCACGTGTGAAACTGTTCCATTTCTGCAGGATACCTGTGCCGAAGTTCGTAGGTTAACAGGGTTAGTGTACATATCGATTTCTTCTCCCTTGGTATTCATATATTCATAGCTGGCAACATTACCGGATTTGTATTAGCGCCACAGGTGGCGATGTTGATTTAAGTTTGGCCGGTCCGTAAAACTTAGAACAACCGGCTATCCAATCAAGAAGCGAAATTGAGACCGTGCCGGAAAGATTCCGACTCGGCAATAAACTACGTATTTATTGTGATGCGTCCGCTTTCTTTCTACGGTCCTCCCGGGAATAATTTAATAAATTGTTCCCTTCTTTAACGCGATCGGTCAAATTCCCCCGAAATTCTGTAATTCCAAGCTCCCATTTTGCAGCTATGAAATTGTTTCGATCACGTTTCTTTAGATTAAATCTGCTACTGAAAATCTCTTTATATGGAAACTGTCTATGACGCCATGTTTTCAGTAACTACTTCATAGAACAAGTTCACAAATTTATAAATACTTGATAAGATAAATTTAGAAGAAACTTTCAGAATTAGGAAATGTTCAAGGGTGACGCGTGAAAATATAGCACGTGACGTTACGTATGGAAAATGGCGGTCTACGTTATTCTTAACGGTGTCAATCTGAGACCCAAAAAAGCTCAGCCATTCGACCTAATACGGATCTTTTCCATCATAGTAATTAAATACAGTCCTTCGGAGAACCTATAGTTCATTTAATTGAAAGGTTCGCTACATTTCGTGTAAGGAAACTTTCAGCTACTTTGTAACCACTTTGCCAATAAAACGAGTGAGAAGTTTCTTTACTTGTCTCCTGCGAATCTTTTCTTCGTTCTTTTCTTGTCCAAGTATTTACTATTTCTCCAATCGCAATCACACATTAGGCTCTTTCTGCGATAATTACAATATGCCATGAAATCGATTAAATATCCTCGATTCGCATTGTCAACCGAAATCCTTTTAAAACATTGTCACCGTTCTACGATTCGAGCTTTCAATTACCGTTTGAACGCCATGTTATTATTCGAACGTTCCATTATACGAATAACACGTTCCGAACGTGCTTTGTTGTAATTTCATTTCTATGCACTCAATTCGTTCCTGCTTTGTCCGCGAATTCCGAGTAAATTTTGCCAAGAACAATTGTTTAATGCACAACGTAAGTGCGTTACGATTAAGGCAAATAAAGTTGTAGAGAATTTTTGCTGGAATAGTTGCGATGTGCCATTGAAAACTGTTTTAAAATGGTGCAGGTGTTATTTACAAAGAACCGAGTTATTATATGAATACCGTTAAGTTCGTTTGCTCAGTGGCTTTCAACCTTTTCGACCTCCACAAACTATTTCCTAATAAATCAAATAAAATGGAACGGAGTGAAAATAAAGCAAAACATTTTACTGAATTCGGTACAATACGAACAAATTGTATTACTCTAAGTGCATGATATAAACTTTATCAATAGCAAAGAGAGCCAAACATCCAAGAGTTAAAACCATTTCACTCAGAAAACATTTTATCCTCTGATGACCTGCATAGTTCATGAAGACAACATGTCAAACCTCGACTTAATAATTAAAATTGAACCCCGTTCAAGTGGTTTACCTAGAATTTAGTTGTAGTGTTTCAGTTACAGAGGCAATCGAGCACAAGCAGATCTGTTTGTTCACAGATTACGACCGAGATTATGGTCCGCCATCGATGAGGCCGCCCGGTGAGTTTCCGGTAGATGCCCTAAGTCCAGGCGTTTCTCATCGAGCTCAGCTCGTGTTTCATCTTCTGGTGAGTCTGTTGTCACTGCTACTTCCGGCCATCAGAAGGTGATTCTCACGTCGCGGGAACAGTGCTTCCAGTTCTAGTGTTTATTGGACGGTGACCAGATCGTGGACGGGTACCACATTTTGGTACACCTGTCCCGGCTGGATGATGGACGAGTGCGACGAGTCAAGACGCGCTTGAAATTATTTTCATACTAAACGTAGACGTATACAAAATGAACGCGAAGAGAATATATATATATATATAATATATATATATGCAAATATATTATCCTATTATTTATATGCATTTATAGGGTGAGGCATCTGACCTGCGCTGGCATTACTTTTAAATCGGGTTATATGAAAAATTTTTTGTAGATTAGAGCTTTCACAGGGGGATGTTACTTGTATCATTTATTCTTTCAAATATCACTTTGCAAAATATTTTGGCAAAATTTAAATTTTCATTTTTAGTGAAACTTTCTTTGAAAATATTTTATTTAGGCAAAATGCTGTGTTTCATATTTTTGATTCCTGAGCGAAATTAATTTTAACTATATTTATTTAACCTGAAACTCTGTTCTAATAATTCTTGCACTAATCAAAACTTTTGCTTAATATTTGGTACCCAATTTTCAGTTCATCAAAAAAAAATGTTCTGGCAGGTTTTAGCTAAAAACTGATACTAACGTCCCCTTCGAAGCAACGCAACTTTTGTATAAAAAAATTTTTCATAAATCATAAAAATTAAAAACTATGCGGTACACGATAGATTCCTCAGCCTGTATGTATATATGATACAAACATGTTGTGTAAGTATATCTGCAGTGAGTATGAAAGATTTAGGCTTACGAATGACGATGTGAGGCGTGACTTTCGCGTTGGAGAAAGAACACGACCTGTGGTGTGTAAATTAGGTAAAACGCGAACGTAAAGACTCAGTTGCTCTCGGTATAAATGAGAGATTAAACGCAGTGGTTCTCAACCGATGTACCGAAAAACTTCAGGTTTATAACCGTGTTACGTACACGTTGCTTTAAATGTTCTGCCAAATGTTTCATATCGAATGGCGTATCGCAGTTTTTAGGGGGTTGAGAATTACTGACAGAATCGAAGTGATTCTATTTTAGTTTTTTAAGGAAAGAATTAGATGAAATTTTTACATGATTTCCACTTCTACATTTTTAGAGAAAAATGTAAGACTTCAAATCGTGTAAAATTCGAGGAGACATTTCAGCAGCCATTTTGTTATCCGGGAAAAACATTGTAAGTATCCGTAATGTACGAAATTTACGCGATAACGAAGTGTATTATATTAATTTAACGTGGTTGTCGGGAAGCATGGTAGAACCTCGATTATCATAGCACTGATTAAAGATCGATCAGAGCATCGATTAATCGATTAACTTGGTTATCGGAACGTCGAGGCATCGAATACTGCGAGGATCACATGGCCATTACAATTTAATATAATTGCAGGAAAATATAATCAGAGAGAAGTGAAATTCTTTGTGGTATCAGTTTTATACTGAATTCAAAAATAAAATTATTATAAATACATAGTGTGCCATATTATTCATTATTGTATTTAATATAATACTTTTAATTGAAAAGAAGATTAAATGACTCACCTACGTTTTTCTGTTTATAATTTATTTGCTGCAAATTAGTTTGGTTATGTTACAAGTTGTAGTATTTTAATATATTCGATATATTTAATTTATAATTTATATTTCATTTATTATATTCTATGTTTAATTTATTACAGTCTATATTTAATTTTATTTAATATTACATTTAGTCATATTTAATTTTATTTAATATTTAATATTACACTCTAGTTGTTAATCAACATATTTAAGTTAGGTTAGGTTGCTCCAGCCATTTTGAATCACGCCTGCCATCAAAATGTCGGTCAACCGCGCAGTAAAACTGGAGCTCGTCACCAAAAATAAAGATACCAAAATCGATTAGTAAATTGAGAACAATTGACATGTTAAAAATGACAGAAAATCGTTAAACTTTCATTCGAGCTGTCGAAAATGAAATATCACCTCAAAATTACAAAATAGCACAAAATGTAAAAATGTGTATATTAAATTACCCGAAAAATTGCGTAAACAATGAAACTACGATACAGTTTGGATAATCAAGGTTCTATTGTACTATTTTCAACGCAACAATCGGCGTTCCGAAATTCCGAGTACGAGGATCTCATTATTATCCGTTATTGTTACACGCACAATATGACCGGATTTCTGAATTATTGTAATTTCCGTTGTTCGTTCGCAGTCTGATTGAATGTTCTTCGACCGCGAGCAAGGTACAGCCGTAATTCGGTGCATAATAAATACATATACGTACGCATGAAAGGATAAACATACATATACATATAAATATATAAATATATATATAATCGAATCGTAGTTGTGTTGGAATATGCGCTCTGAAGTCTTATCATTAGCTGTTTGATTGGCAAAGCGTGCATGCACTAACACGAAGGCTAGCTATACATACGTAAGATATACGAGAAGCATTCGTGCATTCTGTGAATTTTTTGTGAGTTCCCGTGTAAGAGAATGGAGAAGTGTGACAATGTCGTTGCGTAGCCCCGAATCATCGACGACGGTACTTTCGAGAAGAGAGCTTCGTCATTTTAGTTCAGTTAATTACCGCGGGAGGGACAGGAATTCTGTAATGCATCACTGACAATATTTTTAGCCATAATGCATCCCGTGAACGGAGTTACCATGATGTCGATAGATATTGGAGATATTTTAGCAACTTTTTCGTGTATGGAGTATTCGTATGGTCTCAATTAATTACTGCAGGATTGTAACTATTAGTACTGAATGAATTTAGTCGATTTTTTCATAGATTCTTAAATACTATACATTCTGGATATTTTTTATTCCTCATTTTTTTTAATTTTGTTTATTATCAAATTAGTTATTACATTTTTCTATGATAAAGTAAATATAATATTTTTGTTCTATTGATAAATTTTGTGTAGTTTGAAACTTGAAAATTTATATAAATTTACATCAATTTTTATTTACATCAATTTTGAGATTTCTGTATTTCTTCACTATTCATTGCTAAATTACCGACATTTAAATAATTTATATTTCTATTCTATTGTATTTATCAATTTTGTGTTTTACAATTTAAAAATTTTTCGAAACTCTACATTTTTCAAATTGGAAATTTGATGTTTACAACAAATACTATTGTATGTTTCTAAATTTTTAGGTTTTAAAGTTTTAACAATTTGATATTGATATCCTTTTGATATCTTTTAAGAAATGGAAGATAAAAATCTTTTTAAGCTATACAACGTTTAAATTTTTAAATTGCCAATTTACTAAACCAGTAATTGGTAAATTTCTCAATGAAAAAGTTTGTAAGTTTGTAAATTTGAAAATTTGATATTCGTATATTTGTATATCTGTACGTTTGCATATTTATATCTTATACATATCTAAATTTCTGAATTTAAAAATTCAAAACTTTGATACTTTTATTCCCAACTTCCTGAATTTACAAATTTACAAACAAAATTTTTAAACCTTCATATCTACAAATAACTAAATTTTTTTAGTTACCAATTCCTCAAATTTTATAACATGTAAAATCTACTTGCAAATAATTAAATTTATAAGTCAGTAAGTCCTCGAATTTAATAATCTCTAAAATAAACTTGCAAATAACTAAATTTGGAAATTACCATATCACTGAATTTATTAATCTGTAAAATAAACCTGCCGATTCGTGAATTTTAAATCTCCAACGTGGACCACTATTGTTCTTCTAAAATTTAATATTATTACCCAATTACAGTCATTTAATGACAAATTATTGCAAAATGCTGCAATACTGCATCATATATAATTATTCCATATATTATTGTTATTGCAATATACATTTTATCTACAATTGAATTTACGTTGTTATGAATATCATATCAGCAGTAATAAATTGAGAAAATACGAATACTTTCGTAATTTTAATACTTGTGAAAATACTATACTATTTTAACACGTTGGTCATTGACTTACATTATAAAAATCCGATAAAAAATTAATAAATTAACAGCTGATAAAACGTGTTGAATGTTTAAAGAATTAATTTTTAATATTTTAATCTCCACAATGCAAGTTCTAGTATTTTTAATAAAAACTATTATGACGTGGTAGAAATATATTAAAATTCACGCAGTTGTATTGTTAAGTATAAAAATAACACCAAAGGTACGTATAATATCGATGTTTATGCATAGTTCATAAACTTTCATGAAGTCTATATTGAGTTCTAATTTTATGTACATTTATATACATTTAGTGAGAATTAAAGGATTAAAATTTTTGAAACAACAAATTTTCAACTTCTTATTCTGAAAAGTCCAGGATTTGTAAGAACTAAATGATAGTGAGTGGAAAATGTACGCTTGTATAATACAATATTTATTCCTATTTATTAATTATTATATTTAAAGAATTAATATATTTATAACTTATTTAAATTAACAATATTTCTAAATAACAAATTGATCAACAAATAAATTTACGTAATCGTTTAAATTTTCTTAAGTAGGAATGATTTTCTTGAGCATATATTAAATCTGTCAGTAGTATGTCTATCAAAAACTAATTAAAGTTGTTTTACAAAACGAATATTCATTACAAAACGTATTTTGGGTATGAACTCACAAACTATGATGAATTCGGTTCTAAAACAGTTTTAATTACATTCGGAGAGCTAATAGAACGTTCAGATTTCGCAAAACCTAACCTCAATGTTAACGTAAGTTAATTTCATTAGCCCTTGTGATAACGCAAAAGTGAAACAGAGAATAACTTTGAAGCTTTAAACTTTGAAAGAGTAGTTTGTACGATGAAATGAGATACCGATGCAAACCCATGAGTTAGCGCATGACGAAGCTGACGTAGAAAAGCTCCAATTGGTCAGAATAGAAAAATGGACCCCTCACATGTATTTTCGGTAGTATTGGCGCGAGCGGTTGCACAGCAATTATTACTCTTCTCAAGTTCCAGCTTTTCAAAGTTCTAACCTTTCAAGGATCCAACCTTTCAAAGTTCCAATCTCCCAATGTTCCAACCTTCCAAAGTTTCAATCTTGCAAAGTTATTAATTTCTAACGTTATAATCTTCCAAACTTTCGATATTTCATGATTTCAACCTTCACAAATTTCACCTTCCACAAGTTCTAACCTTCCAAGGTCCCAACTTTTCAAGAATTCAATCTTCTAAAGTTCCAACCTTCCAAAGTTCTAAACATTCAGAGTTCCATCCTACCAAAATTCTATCCTTCCAAAGTTCCAAGCTTCTAAATTTCCAATCTCCCAAAGTTCCAACCTTCTAAAGTTTCAATCTTGCAAAGTTATTAATTTCTAATGTTACAATCTTCCAAACTTTCGATATTTCATGATTTCAACCTTCACAAATTT